TATAACGTGGCCCACGAAATGTTGAATTTAAGAAGTCAATATATAGAGCTTTATTGCTTTTAAATTTGTGTAAGATTAACCAACTCTTGGATCCACCAAAATTTCACATTCGCATAGGCAAAGCCAACATCTTTATCCCTACTAGATATTTTACGTTCGTTCAAATGGAAGAATATCATTTTTGGTTTATATTCGTGAGTTTTCAGACCACTTCGACTAATCTCATGAGGCAGGCGCTTGACCTTACAAAATTTGATGTTGTGAAATAAATAAGAAAATGTTTGGATCTCTTCAACTGATCTTACAGGACAGTCGCTTGACTTTATGATATTTGATATCGAGAAACACATAGAAATAAATTTAATTAATTATTAAAGTTGGTGTTTACCATCGGATTTGAATCTATTTGTACTTAGTTTATCCTAATCTCTTTTGACCAATGAACCACATATTATGATTAAATTAGACAATATCACATCACGGTAGAAGTGAATTTTTTTTTAATGAAAGAAATTAGTAGAGATACGGATTGAGTTTGGTGTGAAGTTAATAATTTGTTTTGACACAGCCGTTGAAAACCATTAATCAGGCGCGGAGGGATATGACCTACAAATATAATGCCATCATTTCTTCTTTTTCCCAATCACTCTCATCTACACAACGCTAAATTTAAGGGTTTCTTTTCAAAACATTATATTTTCGATTCTTTTAATCACTTCAATTATATTATTATTTTTTTAGATTATTAACATTTTTAGTGATATTGAATCAGCATCTACAAGTTTTCACTGGATTTTATAGTACAAAACCCTAATGGCATATTTGGCTTACAATGTCGTCAATGATCACAAATTTATACATTTGAGAGTGAAATACTTGAATTTGAATTATACTTTATATGTTATCTAAACGCTTAATTAGTTCTCATAAATCTTAAGTTTATGTAATTCGACTTCGGTAAATGTAAATCTCTAATAACTTCAAAATATCAAAATGAATCTAACAACTAAATAAATGGGTATGTTAATTTGTTTTTAAATCTCAAATATTGAAAATCTAAATCCAAGATCTTCCAAGTTCAATCTGAAAAATGGTGACTTAAATACAAAATTGTCAATTAGTCTAGTTGAATTACGGTGGACAATCTAAACTTCGACTGCTTTTAATGAGACCATTTGAAATGGTTGTCGAGAAAGGAAATTAGAAAATGAAGTAGATGTTAATTATCGTTGAAGTTCATGTCGAATACCGTATCGATTAGGGTATTAAATATCCGTCCCGTCATTTTCAATTTTATAATATAGTAAAGATTTTGAAAAAATATATTAATATTAATAATTTTTAACTCACTTAGAGAATAGACGTACTAAACTCTGTCATTATTTCCTTTAATCCATTTTTCACCCAAAACCATCAATCATCCTTTACGATTAAACCCCATCTCTCTCTCTCTCTCTCCCCTTCCTCATCAATCCTTGTCATATTAATTAATAACCCTCTCTCTCTCTCTCTCTCTCTATCTCTCTCTCTCTCTCTCTCTCCTCTCTTAATTAGTTTAGTATAGTACTGTATATTCACTTCTTTTTCATCTTAAATAGAGCCCCATCTCCCATTCTTCCCTCTAATCTTGCATTCCCCATTCCCCTTTCTCTCTCCGTGTTTCTGGGTCGCTACCCAGATCAGATCGCCTCCATGGAAGAATCAGACTGCTTGTAAAAAACTGTGATTCCAGAGCTGTGTTTTTTCATGTGGGTTTTGGTTATTAACAAAGGAATTTTCCCACAGAGTTCATTGGCATTCTGTCCACCTCCCCTAATTTCTTCTGTTTGTATGGTGGAGGTGGGCATACTGCCAACTGAGCTCTGTTGGATTCTCTTTGTAAGACCCCTCATGACTCATCCTTTTCCTTTGCAGATCATCCATCATCTTTATTTCTCCCCTTTTTCCATTTGTTTAATTATTTGCTCTATATTCTCTCAAGATCCTTCATCATGCTGTTTGTTTTTCCAGAACCCAAGATTCCATGGACCTCTCTTTCTCACCTTCTATTTCATCGTAGCTGTAGAATTCCATGGAGATTGCGATCTAGGGTTTCTCTCTGCTCTATTGGCCTGATTTTTCGTTTTTAGGGTTTCTTTCTGAAATAGAAAAAAAAAACCCAATAAGTTTCAATCGAGGCTTACTCGGTCAAATCTTGAATCTCCAGTCTGAAACCCCTCCATTTCTTTTGAGTGAGGGGAAAAAGTATATAAAAAAAAATGAAGTGATTGTTTTCTTATTTTTTTCTTTTTGCAGCTTATGGGGCCGAAATGATGAAGGTGTATAGTATGTGAGATGAAAGAACATGCAGATCGATAAAATAGGATGAACTTTTCAACCCTTTTTTTTTTCAACTGTTCTGTGAATTATTTTATTTTTTTCTTTTTCCTTTTGGGGTTTGTGGGTTTTGCGAGAATGATTTGGTATTGTAAGGCCACAATAATTAGTAGAGATTTTTCAGATTGTGTTCATGCCCTTCATGCATGCCTTCTCTCTGTGTCTGTCCCCCATTAATTTTTACTTTCTACTTTGCTTTAATTATCATTACTACTGCGTGAAATTAATTCTTAATTTTGTAATTAATATTAATTTTTTTTGTTTGGGCATTGAACTTTTAATATATATATATATATCTGATTTTACCCAATTTCCCAAGCCTTGAATACGCAGCCCTCATGATTGCCCACTGACAAAAGAGTTGAAGCTTTTTTCTATGCCTATTGCCACTGCAAGCGAGAGATGCTTCCATTATTAGCGTGTCACCGCGGCGGCGCGTGGAGTGCCGAATCAGCGAGTTCCGGGACGGCGCTTGGAGGCGACGTGCGGCGGCGGCGGCGGAAAAGAGGGATTTGAAGGGGGTTTAAATTAATTAGGGTTTGGGTATGGAGATCTGATATGATCTTGTTTCAGTTGGAGGTGTGGAGGTAGCCAGCTACAGCTAGCTAGGGTTTCGCCTTATACTTATAATTCCTCTGTACATGTCGTAGTCGTAGCCCGTAGGGAATGTATTTCTTTTCTTTTTAATTATTTTGTTAATCTACCCTTTATTTGCATTATTATTTGGGTGAAAATACTATTATAGCCATAATATATATATATATATATATTTTACTTGGCTATAACTATACTTTTCTTTATACCATTTTAAAAAGTTTAAAAGTGATGTGTTTAAGAGCTTGTTTAGATTTGGTATGCAATTCTGTTTCTTGTATATAATTTTGAATTTGAAACTTGATAATAATGCATAATTACATTATACCAACCAAATAAAAACTTTAAAATATATTATATTCTGTTGTATTATAATCTCATTTGGTTTTTGTTAAAACTAAAACATGTAAAGTTAATATGTTATAAAGTATATAATATTGTAAAATAATAATTATACAAAGTTTATAATATATATTTTAATAAATCAATTAATATTATTTTAGATTTAACTAACCACATGAGACATTGAAAATAATTTAATACCTCATTTTCATTTTTTTTAGATTGCTAATCAATTGTAAGTATTTGATAATTATTTTTATTTTTTGTTTTTTATTTGAGAAACAACCAAACGTGTCCATATAAAAATTTTACTTTAAATTTACGAACAAGGGAAGAAAAAAGTGGTTATTAAACCTGTTTTATTTTTATTAGTTGAAAAAAATGATAAAATAAAAAAACAGACAAGGAAATAAGTAATAAGAACAAATAAGTAACAAAAACTTTTGCGAAAAGGAATCCTTTAACTTTTAAAAATTTGTGTTATGGTGTGATTTGTAAATTCATGGATGTTTTGGAAATATTTAAATATTTAAAAATAAGTAATATCTAAATTTAGAGAAACTATTATTAGGATGTATTGTTTATAATGTCACAACCGTTTACTTTTTTTTTTTTTTTTTAATATAGTATAAAATTGACTTTTTCTTAACGTGTTTTCTACTTTGATTTGGATCATTAAACAACACATGTATTTTATGCTATTCGTGTAAACTAAAAATTGTTGGGAGAAAGTACAGAAATAGAGACTATAATGGTAATTTAGGCTAGTTAATATTAATATAAGCATCAGGAGTTTTTGGAAGAATGTTTACAAATTGAACTAAACAAATTACCAAATTAATTATCTATTTTAGGTTTTATGTATCTTTAAAATTGAGTTGGCTTTTACTTATGAAACAAGAAACTAGGTTATAGAGGTATATGGTGAATTTAAGCAAAGAGATTCTTAATTAGGTTCTCACATAAAATTTAAAAAATATATTAAATTATTGTTATTATTTTTTTTATTATCAAATAGTGTTATAGCATTAGCATGTTCACATAGATAAATATACCAATAAAACAATAAATTACTAATTTATATATTTTTTTTAAAACAAATTTTAGCAAGCCGCTTTTATTAAAAAAGAAAATTAAATACATTAATTTGAAAATTCTAAAAGATGGAAGATTAAAACCATTGAGAGGTATTTTAAAGTTTTATTTCAATGAAGTCCTGTAGAAACTTCAAATAATTAAAATTTTAATTAAACTTAATCCTGTATTAGTGATGTTGATGAATTTATGTATGAATAGATTGATCGGTTAGCTAAGAAAGATATGTTTTTTTATATATACAACCTCCATTCTAATAGTAAACATGGTAGCTTTACTCTCATTTTTGTTTACCTATTTATATAATATTTAATGAATACAATAATTTCACTACAAATTTATTTAATAAAAATATATTAACCTAACTTAAATAATCTAACTAAAATAAACCATCACTAAAAAATAATAATTAAAATAAACTAGTCCACTCTATGCAAAATTATACTCAATGATACGAAATAAATATATATTTATAAAAATATTATTACTTTTTATTTATTTTTAAATGTCAGCATAAGTTTGAAGCAGCCTCGTTATTTCTTTTGTTTTTCATCTTTCGGTTGCAACATACAAAGCGGGCCAACAAGCTTGAAGCAGCTATGGAAGGCGGGAAGAATCTGCAAGTCTTCTGGACGAGCCGTACTGGCACTGCTCCTCCCACACTTTCCCCACATTCACCGCAGATCATTTGTTGCCTGCTCTGTAATTTGTACTCAACCAGAAGCAGGACGCGATTCCGACGATTCTGATTGATTTCACAAGTAAAATTTCCCTGCCGGAGAGTTCTTGCCGACGGTCATCTTCTATAGAAGATCGTTGCTCTCATTTTCACTAGGAGTTGCGATGCCGGTGGCCAATTTATGGTCTATAATATATGGACATCGAACATATACGATGTTCCTCCGCGGAAGGAGCGGCCATTTTTTTTAGCTTTTATCTCATAGATTTCCGAAGAACTTTGGATTCGACGGCCAGCGCAACTCAAAATTCGAGTTCGGTTTTGGAACTACGGTGCGTTCTGCAGCAAGCGCGACTGCGAGGTAAATTTGCGGGTGAAAGTATTTCTCGATTTGGAGAATCACTTCTTGAACTGTGAATATTTTCTGCACTTGAAATTTTCTGAACTATTTCCTTATAGAGCCTTAAGTTTTGAGAATCCTTGTTTTTGGTTCATGTTCTTTCGAAGTAATTGGACTACAACGTACGTCACTGATGCTTATGGTGTTACTTTGGTCAATCGATTATTCCAGAATTCCAGATGCTAAAAGTATTGGATTACGCTCCCATGTTGACATTTATATGGTGTGGTAGAGACTTGATACTTAGAAACAGCAAACTCATGGGGCATTGGCTGGATGCCTTTTACATCTGGAAACAACCAGCTGCATAATTGATGTTTCTGGCACAGTTTCTTGATGACAATTTTAACGGTACCCTTCTTTTTCATCTTGTTTTAATCTTTTACGAGTTATGTTATGGTAGATTTAATAGGCTATTCTCTTTCTTGCCACTGGTTAGTTAAAATCACGGATTCAATTTTAAAGAAAAAACTATGTCTATGGTTCACGCCTAAATATAGCTGTATATATCATGTTCCAGGTATGTTCTCTAGTTACAAGAAACTACTGATTTTACCTCAGATTATTACACTACAATAGATTTCACTTAGTTTGTTGGAGGGTTTGGACCTTTCGAGTAATACAAGTGATCAGCTACTGAACGTAAAATTGGTCACAGACTCGCAGCTAGCTTTGTGCTGCCTTTATGGGAATTGCTTTTTACTTATCTTTTTCCACGAGTAAACACGTTCGTTTCACAAGTAATGTGTACCTTTTGGAACTTCTCGACTAGCTCCGTTAGGAATTATTCTTTTTCAGGTTCTGATTACTGGTTAGTTCTTCTGCCAGAGTTTCCAACTCTCTGGTAAAATCGAATGATGAAACTGTAATTGAAGAGTTACTATAAGTTTGTTCAACTTCGAAATGACTGGGAGATATGTGCCTTTTTGCCTCTTGGCAGGACGCTGGCAAAATTTCCAAGGTTGCATACAGTTGAAGTCTCTCTACAGTTTCATGTGTTGTTTAGTGACCTTAGTCCCATTGTGTTGAATAATCCTAATTAAGTTTCTCATGATCACCCTTGTTTTCGATTAACTGACCATGTTCTTCAAAAGAAAATTTAATCTGACCTCATGACGACCTTCCCCATTCTCCAAAGGATGATAACTTCCTCTTTCAATGTTATGATTTTTTATTATAGAAGCATGGTTAAGAATGCGACCATAAGTTCTGATAAAGGGACGATCATGGATGTATAAGTGTGGGAGTAAAAGTATGAAAGCTTATATCCGAAGTGGACAATATCATACCATTCTGGAATGTATAAAGGGTCCATTGTCCTTAACTAATGGTATTTAGAGACACGCTCCTGATTAGATTACGAGTATATAAGTGAGGACTATAATATCTCATTGGTATGCATGAGGCCATTGTCCCAAACTTGTCCATTGGAATCTAGGAAACCATAGCCTTATACCATGTGGGAGGGTGTCAACTGTCAACACGATGTTCATTAACTTTACTTTATTCTCTATCTCACAAACCAGCCCTTGATTCTGCTACCCCAAGATGGTTTTCCAGATGCTTAATTTAATGCAATCAACTTCAGTTTTAGGTGTTCGTGCTTCCAAATTCGCATAGCAGCCTCGATCCCATTTACTATATCCAGTTGTAATCAGTTTGAGAGGTACGAGTTATCCAGTAATGGGAAATGTCCTATACTGTGGTAGTACGGGTATTAGTTCCTGGGAAGAACTGATTGGCTATAGGCTATCTTATGCTGGTACAAAATTTTCTACTAACCTCTCTATGTCCCTCCTATCTCTACAATAATACGATGTTCTTTTAGACTCTACCCAAAATGAGATGTTATCATTAAGTATCCTAACATGAAACCGTCCAAGATTTGTTAAAACTTAAAGGAGTGTAGTCCAATTAATGGCAGTATCACAAATTACAGTGAAGCTAATAGAAAGAAAAGGAACAAAATCCTCCAAAAAAAAATGGAAAAAGAAAAGCCGAATGAGCTAATCTTGGTGTTCTAGGGATATTGAAAGGAAAGTAACCATTGTTATTAAGGAAATTGATAGAAAAGATTGGTGACCCTCGTGTAGCCTATCACTAAATTTTTTATAAGTATTTATTCTTTTGGGAAAAATAAATGATATATCTTCCATGATTCTCTCTTGTCGGTCAAAATCTAGTACTAGTATTGCCTAGTCAATAGAAAAATATTATTAGATATGATTATTTTATATATTTTTTTTAGTTCAAGAGCATGATGATTCTCTAACTTTGATTATAATATGTTATAATCAATTATGTTAATATGTTTTAATCAATTAGGTTCGAAGTTAGCAATCGAATATGTTGTAGTTTTTTTTTAAGTACAATATGTGGGGTGGAGATCGAACTCACCAACCTCTTGGTTGGAGATATGTACCAATTACCATTGAATTATATTCGTTTTGACGAAAATCTCGGAGTTACCGAGACATGAGACAGTGAGGAAATTAATATTAAGTCCTTGTGGAGTTGTCATCACATGCGGCATTTTTCTTCTTCGATATTGACAGGGTAGAACGACTTGGCTGACCGGTGAAGTAGCCACTAAAATGGAAGTTCGAAGAGTCAATAGTCAAGAGTCGAGACCCAAACTGGAGATAAGGTTTCTCTCTCTCTCTTCTTAATCATTTTATCTTTGATTTTTCTTGGGCTACTTCCTTGCAACAAAATAATATTTTTGTTTAGGTTAAACTTTTATGTCCATGTATTTTGATATCTAAACCTTAAATTGTTTTATATTTTAAATTTTCTCATATAATTTAATTCTTAAAATTTGAAATTACTTTAATCCTCTTCTTTAATCATTTTAAGTTCAACATAAGGCTCTATCTATTTCGAAATTTGACACTTGGACCTCTATTTGTTTTGAATGGATTTTAGGTGAATTTTTAATCCGAATAGATTTGAAATGAATCCGGTTCTATGTGATATTTGTAAATAAAATGATTTTAGTAAATTTTCAAATTAAAATAGTTGGATTTTACAAGATTTAAAACATCAATTATATTAATTAAACCTCATTAGACTTTATCTTCTCAATTACAAATTAATGGTTTAGGATCAGAAGACTTTTAATAAAATCAAGCGGACATCGGAATGCCAATATGAGCTTAGCTCAGCGGTAATTGACTCTCTGATGAATAGATTATGAGTTCGAATTCCTTATTCCTTCTCCAGACCAGCAAATCTAATCAACATTTAAAAAAAAATTCAAAAGCTTATTAAACACAAAATTTAAAGTCGAGGGTCCTAAACTAAAAATTTATGAACTTGTAGATAATTTTTAAACTTAAAAATTTTATTAGACGAAAAATTAAAAGTTTCAGTACTAAATTTGTAATTTAATCTTAAAAATTTTAAATTATAATAACTGAAGTATTTAATTGAATATGAATTTTACAATTCCAAATTTGGGCTCGTTTGGTCGTTGGTACCTATGCAATATTCTATTCCTCAAACAAAAGGAAAAAAGAAGAAGAAGAGATATTCGAAAAGTGTGGGTGCGTATCATCGGCGAAAAGTACGTGGGAGTCTATCTAGCTAGAAAGAGAAACGGAACGGAAGTGGGGTTGAAAAGAGGGCGTGGTGTGGTGTGGTGTCGACATGGATGGTGCCATGATGGTGTCATTAGCTCGCCACGCGCCCCTCGCCTTCCGTTATACTTATATCCCGTTATCCTCCTCCTTCTCCCCGCTCTTCGCGCCCCGCCTCCGCCTTCAGCCTTTTCGTCTTCTTCAAGTTTCTTCCATTCCTCTCTCTGCATTTCCCTCTTCCTCTTCCTTCAAGTTTCTTTCATCTTCTCGCCCTAACATGGGATCTCTCTCTGCCCTCCTCCATCCCCTGCACTACCCTACTGCTCGCCGAGATGAGTCTATTGTCGATGATTATCATGGCGTTCAGATCGCCGACCCTTACCGATGGTAAACCGAAATCCTGTTTCCGCTTTATTCTTTTATTGCAGATATTGCTGCTGCTCTTTCTGGTTTTTTGAGGAATTTTATGAGTCAATGGAGTCTTCGCTATTTAATTACTTCTTTTGACAATCGATGAATGTCGTCAATCGCGTTTGTTGAGATAGCATAGCCATCGGACTTGGTTGCATTTTTGGCGGAACAAATTCTATCCTGCAATTATATTATTATTGTTTGAACATAATTCTCGCTTTTGGAGAAGTCTAATTGCATTGAGACTTATTTTGTTCGTAGGCTTGAAGATCCTGACGCCGAAGAAGTGAAGGAGTTCGTACAGAAACAGGTGAAATTGACGGAGTCGGTGCTTCAGAAATGTGAATCTAGAGAAAAGCTCCGCGCCAAAATCACTGAGCTATTTGATCATCCACGATATGAACCGCCTTTTAAGCGTGGGAATAAGTACTTCTACTTTCACAATACTGGCCTTCAAGCGCAGAGCGTTCTTTATGTTCAGGTTCGTGGACTTCGTATTCGGATTCTTTATGTTTTGGCGTGCGCTCTTTAGGTAGCTAATGAATGTATTTGCATGTGTTTGTTTTTTCGTTTCTTCCGATACTGTCTCTCAGGATAGTTTGGATGGAGAACCTGCGGTTCTGCTCGATCCCAATGCGCTAAGCGAAGATGGAACAGTCTCGTTGAGTGCTCTTTCAGTCAGCAAGGATGCTAAATACATGGCTTATGGGCTCAGTTCAAGTGGCAGCGATTGGGTGACAATTAAGGTCATGCGAGTCGATGATAAGAAAACTGAACCGGATACATTATCCTGGGTGCGTAGTTGAAGTATATTTTTTTTCAATGTTTACTGGAACGGCAAAAAGTAGACAGTAATATGGCCCAATGGTAGATCTGATTTTATATATGGGTCTTCTATGATGTTTCAGGTAAAGTTTTCAGGTATTAGTTGGACAGTTGACGGCAAAGGTTTTTTCTACAGCCGCTATCCTGCTCCCAAGTGAGTTACATGTAAAATGATAGTTGGGTTTCGAGCAGTATTATCCAATCAACGATTGTATGTTTGATTGAATTTTTATTACACTACGGATTCTTGTTAAAATTTATGAAACATGGACTAGTGATATAGAGCATCGAATGTAGGAAATTAGTTTCGTCAATAAAACTTCCTCTCTTCAACTTCAGCAGTAACTTTTTGATTAACTAGTTTGAAGCCAAGCAGTTTAGTCAGCAGGATTGATTTGAACTTCTTTTTTCCCTTTTATTCTTGATAATGAACTACACAAATAAATGTTTGTTTTTTCTCCTTGTTTTTTGTACTGTAGAGAAGCAGGAGTAGATGCTGGTACGGAGACGGATGCAAATCTTTATCATGAAGTATACTATCATTTCTTGGGAAGTGATCAGTCTGATGATGTCTTATGTTGGAGAGATCCAGACCATCCTAAATACCTTTTCTCAGCCACTGTTACTGATGATGGAAAGGTGATAATCTCCCGTTTCATTGATTTTGGAGCTTTCATGAGGAGGAAAATAGTAGAGGATTGGTTTCTGATATTCTTCCCCTATGTTTGCTATATCATGGTCTTAAAAACCATTATTACTGTTACAACTGTATCACTAATAATTAGTTTTACGACTTCTGCACTGCTGTTTAACTTATGGCCTTGTTGTTCGTTTCAAGGCCTGCATATTCTGCATATTCTTACTTGGCCGTTCTGAAAAAAATGCAACTGTTTCTTTGATCGTCTCCCTGAATCTTGAACAGATTAAGCTGCCTTCTGTTATGGGCTTTATCAGCAAAACTTTGAGATGATAGAGATACTATTTAGCACAGTGTTGTAATATACTTCATGTGCCGTGCGTCATCTTAATCCTCCTAGCTTGCAATATACTTCTTTCCTGTTAGATCTCTCTATCATCTGTACAGCTTAAATGATCAATGTGAAGGTTTGACCACCTCTTTTCAAGCCATAATAGGTATAAAATGTATTGGATTGTGCCAAAATAAACCATAGAAGATACAGTAAGATGTTAAGGTTTAAAGAACTTGTAATAGTGTTGTTGTTATGCTAAATTTATTCAATAGAGGATATAGGATTGTTTTACACTCTATATTATTGACATGTATGCCATTACCAATTGACCTTAAACTTGTCAATTCTCCAATTCAAATTTCCCCATAAGTGGTTTTTAGCTTGAAAGCTCGTGTATAATTAAAATATTCCTCATATATTTCCTTTTTTATTGATCGTTATGCAATTGCTTAGCATTTTTACTAACACCATTCTAATTTCCAGTATGTCCTTTTGGAAACTGATGAGGGTTGCGATCCAGTCAACAAATTTTACTATTGTGACATGTCAGCACTTCCTAATGGACTTGAAGGCTTTAGGGGGAAAAGTGACCTGCTTCCTTTTACAAAGCTTATTGATGACTTTGATGCTCAATATCATGCAATTGCAAATGACGATACACTGTTCACCTTTATAACAAATAAGAATGCTCCAAAATATAAGCTTGTAAGAGTTGATTTGAAGGATCCTATGGTTTGGACAGAATTACTTCCAGAATCTGAAAAGGATGTGCTAGAATCTGCAACTGCTGTTAATGGTGACCAAATGATAGTGAGCTACTTGAGTGATGTTAAATATGTTCTACAGATTAGGGACTTGAAATCAGGTTCCTTGTTGCATAAACTACCCATCGATATTGGCTCAGTATCTGGAATTTCTGCGAGGCGTGAAGATAGTCTAATTTTCATAGGGTTTACTAGCTTTCTAACACCTGGAATTATATACCAGTGTAATTTGGAGTCTGGGATTCCAGATATGAAGGTATTCCGTGAAATTGTTGTTCCTGGATTTGAGCGCTCAGAGTTCAATGTTAACCAGGTAAGAGTACTTTATATGTTGAAAATTTAGGTCCATTTTATCTTGCTGAGTTATCATTGTCAATTGTGGCATGTTTATTTTAACTGTTTGGCTATTTGTTTCTTTAGTCAATTTGGTCCATTCATTGCATTATTTCCACTTGACCCTTGAAATTTATATTTCTGGGACTCTCTAGTTTGAAGCTATCTCTCTCAACACCAAGAAATATGCATCTCTTTTGGATCCTTTTCTCTTCAAAATATTTTATGGTTCTTCTTATGTCTAGGTTTTTGTACATAGCAAGGATGGCACCAATATACCAATGTTCATTGTGGCCCGAAAGAACATTGTTTTGGATGGATCACACCCTTGCTTGCTATATGGTTATGGTGGATTTAACATTAACATCACACCATCTTTCAGCTTGAGTCGTATTGTACTTGCAAGGCATTTAGGTGCTATTTTCTGCATAGCTAACATTCGTGGCGGTGGAGAATATGGGGAGGAATGGCACAAAGCAGGTTCTCTTGCAAAGAAGCAGAATTGCTTTGATGACTTCATTTCTTCTGCTGAATATCTTATTTCTGCCGGTTATACCCGGCCCAGTAAGTTATGCATTGAAGGTGGAAGCAACGGAGGACTTCTTGTTGGGGCTTGTATTAATCAGGTGTGAAACAGTTTCTAAATTTTATTTTACACATGCATACGGCACCTGCAGTGCACATATCTGTAATTGAACCAACTCTTCAATGAGGTTCTGAAAGCATTTCTTTGGCAGAGACCTGACCTTTATGGCTGTGCATTGGCTCATGTTGGTGTTATGGACATGCTGCGATTCCACAAGTTTACGATAGGTTGGTTCACATCCTGTAGCAACATTATTTTCTTTATTCATGAGCTCCTTGTTTGATATAGTGCTTGTCTTTTAGGTCATGCATGGACTTCTGATTATGGTTGTTCCGACAATGAGGAAGAATTCAAGTGGCTAATCAAGTGAGTGAAGCTTCATTCTCTGCATCTCATATATATGCCATTAGCTGCTACACATCGTAGTTGACTGAATGTTATCTGATTCCTGGTGTTTTTTTCCTCCTTGCTGCTGGAATTTCTCTCGGCTGAAAATGCTTATTGACTACCTAATTAGTAACATAATAATTGGCTTGTTTCTGTTTTCTGACCTATTGCTCAAAACATTACAAAAAGAAAGATTGCACTTGCGACGACTCGCTTAACTTCAATGCTTTGAGCTTGATGATTGGTCTTTTTATTTGCTGTTTGTTCTAATTCTGTTACTGTTTCCAGGTATTCCCCCCTCCACAATGTGAGGAGGCCTTGGGAGCAGCATCCTGATCAATTTGTGCAGTACCCAGCAACCATGCTACTGACTGCTGATCACGATGACCGTGTTGTGCCATTGCATTCGTTGAAGTTATTGGCGGTCAGTCTTTTTCTAATATGTGAAACCATGTCTCAACAGAGTATTTTTTGGTTGATCTTTGCATATAAACTCAGCTTTTCATGCATTGAATTGGAAATAATTTGGAACGGTTTGTTTTGCTATATTTTTACATCACTTTTGTTCAAATTGGCCAACATAGGATGATGATTAGATTACACTTAAAATCTTCACAGCAATTTCCGCCTTCTGACACGTTAAATTTTCAGACAATGCAATATGTTCTATGCACGAGCTTGGAGAAAAGCCCCCAAACGAACCCCATTATTGGTCGCATTGAGTGCAAGGCTGGCCATGGAGCCGGCCGCCCTACAAAGAAAATGGTAAAATCTCTTCTCTTCTTTTTTGGATATAAAGAAAAGGGACAATATTTTACGTGTGGTTTGACATTCGTTGTTGAATTTTACAGATAGACGAGGCATCTGACCGTTATGCGTTTATGGCCAAGATGTTGGAAGCAACATGGATCGATTAAATTAGATACCACAATCACACAAAGTGGTCTACGCCTTCGGGGCATCAGATACTCTTAAATTTTGCGTAGTCTTAGTCTTGTTTATAAGAACTCATCCCCTCGTAATTTATATTTTATTTGAGCGGCCATATTACTGGCAGAGAATCCATAATTTCAAATATTTGAACTTTTAATTTTCACCTGAGCAATAACTTATCACCATTATTAGTAAATTTACTTAACAAAAGCGTACTATATGTTAATTTTCAATTAATTTATCTTATTTTATTTTATTTTATTTTTCGAAATATCACTCTTAATCCGAAAGTCACAATCCTCAATTCTTAACTTAAATTAGCTTTTAGCTTAAATTTAGATCGAGTACGATCTCCCACATTGATAATTGATGAATGAAAAAAGTTTTGATTATTACAGAAATCTATTCTAAGTCACCAAATTAAAAAAAAAAATCTATTTCAAATGATCAAATTAAAATACCAGGAAGACTACTGAGAACTTGAAGCCATCATTAACCAGTTGATATTTTCAGAAGTTGATAAAAGGGAAGAACAATTTCAAAACCCCACGAGAAAGATTGGTGCAGGAACAGACCTTCATTCAGTGAAATGGGAGTCCATTTTAATATCCGTAACGTCAAGTTGCAGTATCTCTGCTCTGCAACTGAGAATTGATCCAAAACTGAAACACAAAAATCAATTCTCTTAGCTTTCTGGTAACTTTAAATACAAGGTTCAGAAAATAAGTGTTCCTCATACCTGGGGTGTGTGCGACCAAGATCACCATGGACAAATTCTTTAATGTATGTTCCAGCCTGTCACACAGAAACGTTAGCATTTAAAAGTGTATAAATCTGATTTTTTATACATAGGACTATTTATTCATCCATCACAAACTAAGGTAGTCCTCATTCAACGTTAAAAATATACCTGGGTACACAAATGCAGAAGATAATACTGAGAACTTTCAGCAAACTTCTCGATTTTCATCCTAAAAATGAGGAAAGAAAACATCATTAGTGATTCTTAGGGCAAGCATGAATGGATCATTGCATCATTGTATAATTGGAAAAGTTCCAACCAGTGAATGATCTTTTCGCGTTCTAATGGACTACGACGATGAAGCACTCTTATTGGAGTTCTCTGCAAGACTTTCTGCACAAGAAACAGATAAACAATTCCATAAGCATATTTTGCCAAGAAAAGAAATAGAAAAGTTTAAGCTATAGAATAAGCATGCATTCAAAATACAGCTTCCTGGTAACTTAAAGAGTATATTTATGAGAATCTTAAACAGGACTGAGATACACGAAATATGAGCATCGAGCTTGCAGAACTCCTCACCAAGTCTTTTAGTGATGATATTGACAATAAATCGTCATCCTCAAGTGGGCGAGATGTCCACACAAGTGCAGCATATTGCTTCTGCATAATTAACACAGAGCTAGTAACCAATACAGAATGCAGACTTCTTATTCCACTAGTAAGCACAAGCCTCGTTCCATATAATTGAACAGAACTCAGTAATTGTAATCATCAAAAAGATTGTTCAGAGGAAAACCTGCTTCTCTGCTTCTCCTTCCTGCACAAAGGCCCAACCCTCGCTGCCAACAACTTTCAGATTTCTTACGCCAACCTGCATTACAATTTGATTGGTATGCAGTTCGCAATTATTTAAACCAATAGAAGAAGCAACACAACATGAACAGTATGTAACCAATTTATTTTCTGAGCTATTTATCTTTGACTCCATTTCATTTATAATCATCTCAGATGGGATATGTCGAGCATTCTGTATCTCAACCAGGAAAGGTCTACCTGAACCCAACATTCGAACCTGACAAGAAAATTAAAATATTAATTAAACAGTAAATTAGCTTCACGTCTGTCACTTAAGTGAAATCAGATTTTCAGTACATCGAGATCCTCTCTACCAGCAGCATGGAACTTGTAACTATCACCTTGACACAGAGGAAGAATATTGTTGCCTAGAATCTCCTGCAGAAACCCATGATACTATCAATTTTCTCATGCCCAATGAACAGTTGTACAATAGAAAAGTTAGTCACCAGAGGAACAACCACTACCTCGACAGATGCTTCTCCCATTCTCTCGTCACCAATGACCCAGCATGTTTGACTCACATTTCTTGAATACTACAATAAAATGAAATAGTTCATAATCCAGAAAGTTATGAGTCAGTGAATACTCAACGAAGTCTACCTGGGGGGCAAAAGAAAAAGTAGTAAAGCAAAACTTAGCTTACCTTAATGTATCTACCAACCAAGTATATTGGAGCCCTATAACAAATTAGAGCTAAATGGCATGGTTCATTGACCTATGTAGATTTGGGGCGAGAGAGAGAGAGTACCACAATTAGTAACCAATTAAAAATGAAACGAAAACCTGAATGAGAAAGTAAGCATCAAAGTCCTAAAAATGTAAGCAGAACACAAAGTTAATCTCTCGAGTCTCTTAAACTGGGAATAGGAAATGACAAAATGAACAAGATTCACACCACTTTTCCTTCACCAAGAGCCAGTAGTTCAGTTTATTGAGTTTAAATCCTTGGATCAAACATCCATATACTTTCGGTGAATTATTTTTTTGGATCGAGTATACTTTCAATGAAAGCATATAGTAAAGGTCACAATTTTCTTAATATCTGGAAGGACAAAAAGACCAAAGTTCATTCCAGTGAATGGCATCATTTTTTAAATCTATACAAAAAACCTACCTTTTCTTGAGGAAATTCAAAGCACTTAGGAAGTTCAACTTCTTTTGATGGGTTGAAACAATCATCAGCAACAGAATTGGCACCACAGTTTGAGATATCCGAGGGTTCATCATTGCCAGCTGCAATAGTATCATCAATAGTTTCTGAGCTATAATCACGGCTTTAACAATCCACAAATCCATCTAAAGTTCACATGTCAGAGGTTACTGATTCAGTACGTGTAAACAATACAAATCAATTCTCTACACTGTGTTTTTAGAAGTTCAGAACTGATTGCAGCATCCCTATAGGTTTCAGGAGGTAGGAAAAACAAGAAGGCCTCTAGGATAAAATAAGAGAACATATGAAATGGTATTGGGCACTCTCGCACAAGTTTGCTTCACATAAGACAATGACAATTTTTGCTCAACAGATACAAAAGAGGTAGCGACAATTTGATAACAAAGGTTCAATTAACTAACCAATTTTTCTCATCTTGCAGCCGCCCTGGCTTCTTTTGATGGAATTATCATTGCAGCTTGAAGCTTTAGGATGACTATAAGTTAAACGGATGCGCAAACCACTTGAACTAGATTTGCAGTCCTGCATAACTTCATGCATAAATATTAATCAATGAACTTTTCCCTTCAAACGCCCAAATCATAAGAGAAAAACCTACTAAAAGAATAGTCCACCTATTAACAGTTGTCTTCAGTAAACACCAGAGAGAATTAATATCGAACAAAAGAGAGATACAATCATGCAACTCTACTCACCAGTAAAGTTTCAAGAGGCTTTGTTATACAGATTTTTAATGCATCCTTTGCCGAAAGACATAAAGGAGGAGGCTTGCCCTGAAACCAATGTTCAGAACCATATTTTCTTTTCAAATACAGCCTGCAATGCATGGATGAAAATAATAGTTAGTAAATCAATTGACACTTTCAAATGAACTATTGAAAAGGCCCACTTGGCGGCACAAACGCAAGAGGTTTCAAGAGGATTATTTTCTTCAGCCATGTCTCATATTATTATAAAATCACCCAATAATAATAACTTTCAAAAGGTGATGTGTTTTAGAGCTTATATGATAACCATTTCCTTTTCTTCTGTTTACAACATGAATTATCCAAACAGTGTTTGTTTTCTTTTTAAAAGATACTTCAAAAAAATTAACCGAATTCAAAAACTCACAAAAGTAGTTTACTAAAAAGTTTGTATTTAATTTTTTGTTTTTTCAAATATTAACTGTTAGATACTGCTCTATTATAACTTGTTTTCCATTCCTCTAAACAGAATTTATTTCATTAATCTTTGCATGTACTTTCTCTCACTGATCTGTTTCTGCATATCACTTTTCACACAATATCTCTTGTTAATCTCTTTTCAAGTAAATTCTCACTTTAACTCTCCGAATAAATTAGCAGTAGCCACAAAGTTTTCTTTATAAATTACAAGTCAATAAAAAAGAATTAGAACAAAAAATCGGAAACAGTAATAGGTACCAAAAACAATTTATTAAAGTTTTTGTTTTTTTTTTTTAAATCTAGGAGGACGGACGTGTGTGTTGGTTAGTTGGGGGACACTCTTACCAAACAAGCTTCTCATTCTCCAGCATAATCGAAGGAACTGACACCTCAAGAGAAAAGCTATCAATCTGATGGCCCTCTTTCTTTACCATCTCAGAAATTGAGACAGCTAAATCATCAGCTCCTTTACATTTCACAAAGTTACCTTTGTCGTCAATGTAAATGAACTGCAAAATACCTAAACACAGCCTGCAAGTGTTTCTATTATTATCATCATTAATTGCTTCCTTATCAGAACCCAAGATTGATGCCGAAACTGACAAAGAATAATTGTGTCTTTCAATCCCAGATAGGCGAATGATGCAGGGGACGCATACCTGCAAAGGAAATATGACTCAGACGTCATCCACGCCATCCCAAATCAGTAATCATAGATGCAATTCCAACACATGACAGTATTATTTCTCGAAACAGTAAAAAATAAACCTAATAACACCACCGAAACGCATTATATAACATAATAGATGCCGATCAACTGTAGACCACTAATAAGTCCAGATAAAAAAATGCTGTCGGCCATGCTACTATTATCATCGTCATCTTCTTCTTCTTCTTCTTCTTTTTATTATATCATAAAATCATTATCATCAGCATCATGCCAATAAAACAGACATTGAAACACAACGAAATTTCCTCCAAAATACAAACTATCAAGTTATGATTCATCGCATTCCTAATAACTATGAAATTTCCTGTTGAAATTTAGGTAAAAATGAAGGATAGCGGCCTAATGAAGAAGCACATTCAAATATAACCAGAATTTCCTCCAAACTGCAAACTGTCAAGTTATGAAGTGATAGTTTCATCGATCGCATTCTTAACGACGGATATTTTAACAATGAAATTTTAGGTTGAAGTTCAAGAAAAAATTAAGGATAGCGAACGAATGAAGAAGCACATTCTAACACAACCGGAATTTCCTCCAAACTGCAAACTATCAAGTTATGAAGTGACAGTTTCATCGATCGCATTCTCAACGACGGTTATTTTAACAATGAAATTTTAGGTTGAAGTTTAAAGGAAAAAAAATGAAGGATAGCGAACGAATGAAGCAGCAAATTCAAACAGAACCGGAATTTCCTCGAAACTGGAAAGCATCAAGTTATGAAATGATAGTTTAATTGATCGCATTCATAACGACGGTTATTTAAGACTATGAAATCCTAGATTCAGAGACAAGAAAACGTACCCCAATCGACAACAAGTCTTTCATGACGTGAGAAGGAATCTGCGGGACGACATCGTCGAGCAGTTGCAGTTGTTCATTCTGAGAAATGGCTTCTTCTGGGGCGGAAGTAAGTAGTAGTGCTTCAGAATCAGATTGCACTTCGTTCCGTTGGCCCGCCATAAAAGAAGTCCTGGAGAGAAGGCAGCCTCCGCCGACTTGTTAGTTTTAGTTCACTTCACAACTTTGGCGGAAAGGGAAGGGAAGTTTATATACATTTTACTCGATTAGGTTTAAAACCATTGCATTTTTTTAAATATTTTGA